TCAGCCATTGTTCTAGTGACCCTTTCCACTAGAATGATCAGCCATTGTTCTAGTGACCCTTTCCACTAGAATGATCAGCCATTGTTCTAGTGACCCTTTCCACTAGAATGATCAGCCATTGTTCCACTGACCCTTTTCTATTATTCTTGAAAATATAGTCTGTTTGTTTGTTTTTATATAACTTCACCTGATACTTTGTTTCTTTCATTCCTCCACTACACTTGTCTTTCTAAATACTAGATCCACAAACCTTTCATTGTAGCAAAGAGCAAGTATTTGGTCCATCCCTAACATTAGAATATTGCATTATTATACATATTACTGAATGTTAGATATAACTAATTCTGAACCTACGAAAGAATGTAACTATCATAAGAACTGTTGACATACAAAGCAACCTTTTAACTAATTGATAAATTGTCTTTTTCCCCATACTAATGAAAACCTACAATTTCAGCTTTTTTTAGAATCATTATGCTTTAAAGAAATGTAGAGAACTACATGGAGTCTAGTTTTCTTACCGTGTGATCTCATTTGCAGTCTAGGGATGGGATTCTGTTTTAATTTTACTCTTTTGTAGCACATTGACATTAGAATATATATAATATTTTGGCATCTCAATTTTTTCTAAGTGCTTCATTGAATTTTTATAACAGCAGAAAAAGAGTTGCCATGAGTTCATAAAAATAAAATTCCTATTTATAAATATTTATTTTACTTTTTTTGTCTTTACAAAGTTTATCATGAATATATTTTATTAACTTGAACTTGCTTTATTTTTTTCACAAGTAAAAGTAGAAGTTTTTATGTGAAATAGATGCTGTTTCATTGATTAGTATACATATCAATTAATAAGGTCACTAAGTTATCAAGTCAAATTCAATGTTTATATCTCAGAAGAATAGTTAAAATAAATAAATAAATGTATACAGCTTGTTTATTAACATGGTCTGTTTATATTGATGTGTGACTTTTAAACATATCTAGGATTAATTAATATTTAGTTATAGCAGCATTTACTGGTTCCCGGGAGAAAGTTTTTCAGTTATTAATGCCGAATGATAATTCTTATATTGTTGAAGAAAGACATTTTATTCAACTCTTTGTATTTTTAGGTTTGTAATGCACCATCTCATGACCGTCGCCGAGCTGATTATCAGCTAGAAAAATACGTCTTAATATCTGTAATGAACATTATCACCACATTTTTTAACTCCCCATTTTCTGATCAGAGCACAACAGTTCAGGTCAGTGTTTTATACCTTTGCATGAGTTTCTTCTAACAAACTTTACAAAGAAAACATAGATTATTCTTATATCAAAACTTGTTAACGGAAAAAAGGAGTTTTGTTAAAACTAGACATATTCTTAGAAACCTGTGCATGAAATGTATGGAAACAAGGAAAGTGTTAAATCTATGGATCTGAGGTTCTGTGATTTGCACTCTGTTACCTGTAGAAACAAGCCACATTATAAGAGTAGGCAGTGGTTGGTGTTGATTAGCTAGCTGCCATCCTTTTGTCTTTTACTTAACAATTTTGGGTGGTTAATGCAAGTAGGCTTACATGAAACTCAACAATCTTTACTACCATTCATTGCAAAAAGAAAAATTAAATTTGAAAAACTTTCTTTTATATACTGTTTTAAAGGAATATTGTTGAATTAGATTAAAAAGACAAAAATGTTTTTACAGTATTTCATATTTGTAAAATTTATGAGAGATACAGATCTCCCTCTTCTGGAAATTGCAAGAGTGATTGCTCTTGTCAGTATTTCCGTTAAAATATGGAAGTTTTTATCAATGTATTAATTTAATGATATTTTAATTGTTGGGAAAAGTATTTCAGTTGAATGAAATGCACAATTGAAAGCTAGATTATTTCCAATTATCTTTAAAGAACACAAAATTATTTCAACTTATTGTATGTTGACAACATTTCTCTTTAGTGAAACCACATACTTCTTGAATTTTATGTCGTCATCTCAAGGAATGTTGTTGTATTTTGCTGTTTAATCACTGGTAGCATATAATGTATGAGCGGTTCTGTAACTGTGTTTATTTGATAGTGGTATATATTTGCTGTAAAACATGCTATTTAATGTATTGCAGTCATATTTCTCACAAAATGTCTATGATATAATGTTAACTTTGAATTATGATGTCTGATAATGTAATGGAGGTGTCTGTGTTAAGACATTTTTGTATATGCAATATTTCCTATCCTACCTTAATATGGTGATCTCTGCAGGATTAAAGCACAAAGAGTAGCACTACAAACACTGAAATTTCACAATGCATGACAAATAATGCTCCTAAGCAACAAATTATGAGTCTTATGTGGTATGAGAACAATCTTCTTGCTCAAACATGAGCTAGTGCTACACCTGGTGGTGAAACAGTTGTCAACTGCCAGCATTCAACAGCTTTACTATAATGATGTTTTTCTCCTTACTTGAGCTATTGCTTGGATAACTGCACCTTTTGTTTTCTCTCTCTTACGTACAGATAATTATTTGACACATTGCTGTTTAATTCATGCTCATTTGAGTGCAGTACGCCTTCAGGGTAAAACTATATCATTAAAGTAAAAAAAAATTATTGAAAATAAATTTGTAGTCATATTTCCACATGTTGAAAAATAAAAAACTTCAGATTCTAAATTTATTCAGTAAGCATTTTTTATATGCTTAATTCTATACATACAAGTTTTAAAAAAAAATTACTAATTTTGATTTTGTGCCGATTTCAACTCGCTCCTAGTAAAAGCATTAATGTTTGAGAATTTCCTAAAATGTTCTGAGCATAATTTGCCATTCATAGCTTTCTAAGAAGAAATTGATAATAGTGTTGGACAAAATATCACTAATATTACCTTGTAAGTTGAATACAAGTGAAGTTTTATCAAGTTTTAAGCCAATCACCATTTCTCAACATCAGTTGATGTGGTATGATATAATTGCTGATATCTCAGTTTTAAGAAGTGATAGGCTACTGACCTAAACACATCATGAAAGCTATTTTTCCATTCTTTATAACTATAAAACCCTGATAAGGCTTTCAGTTCAACAAAGATTTGTGGAGAGATAAGAAAATGATGATTTCTACCAGTGGCACAGCAGCAAGTTTTTACAATGCTAAAAACAGGGTTTCAATACTTGAGGTAGGCACAGCACGGATAGCCCTTGCCTAGCTTTGTGCTTAACTACCGACACACACACACACACACACACACACACACACACACAAAGAAAATGATGAAAGGATAGATTTATGATGTGATTCCAGAAGAAAAGGTATTTGTGAACAACCTCTGCTATAATTGGAGATCCAATTTTTCTTAAAGCTTATAAAAAGCTTGCTTTATTATCTTATACTTCATTTGAATTATGATATTGAAATATGAGAGTAAAAGTAGTTTTTTGTAGAACAATATGAGTTAAGTTTTTAAGAGTTTATGCTTAAGTTTTTACATTTCCAAAAAAAAAATTCTTTACTTACATCGGTGACTTAGTGTTCAGTTACTTCACCTTCTCTGTGTGACATTGTCATATGAAAAGTTGGACAGAACATTATATGTGGTTTGTTAAAGCATAAATGCAAAATTATATGTAAGGTGCTTTTTTTACAACTCATTCTGCAAGGTATGATAACTTTTTTTCATAAACTACAGACCCATCAGCCTGTCTTTGTACGGCTGCTTCAAGGAGCATTCCGACTGTCTAATTGCTCCTGGTTAAAACTTCACAAACGAATGAATGTTGAAACCTGCATCAAAACATTATCAGACATTGGTAAGCTCATACCTAAAAATATATATATATTTACACATATTACATTATATGTTAGCTTACTTTGAAGTAAAACTATACCCTTCTCTTTGAATTTAATATCGTCATCATATTGCCAAACAGTTTTAAATAAAATAATAACTGTGTTATTCTTATTGTATGCTGTATCTATAACTTAGAATTGGTATTCTGAGAATATCAGCTCACATTGGTGGTACAATACCAAAGGCTATGACAGTGTAAAAGTATCAGTTGACTTTGGTGTACAGAGCTATACTCTAATAACATCAAAAAATGTGATAAAAAATATACAAATACATCCACCCTGTTAAACAGAGCAGTTCTTTGATAAGATGGTGTTTGATGATCAACATGTAGGTTATCTTACCAGCAGGCCCAGCATTAAGGATAGGCAACTTGGACTGCCGCCTAAAGTACGACAAAAACTCAGGGGACACTTCTTTGGTACCACTTACTCATCAGATACATATATATAAACTGTGCTTCATGGTTTTGTGATTTGTATTCCATTACTTTTTTGCACTATTAGTTTACACTAATGAACAAAGTACACAGTCTCATTACAAACTACCTTCTTTAATCAGAACTCAATTATTTGGTGACTTTCTAAACATAGAATATCAGGGAATTCTAAAAATTTTTATTGAAAATATGAAATATTTAACGTACCAATAATAAAACACTGCATTTGAATTTTGTTAGAATTCTTGAAATAATATTTGTCTTGCTTCTAATGTCTATATTTTTTCTTATAAAAACAATATTTATGAAAAATTAATGATTTAGTGAATTCTAGTGAAATTCTGTATTTTTAATTATTATTTGTTATATTTGTTTGCTGTGAGAGCCTTTTTCTAATCTCTAAAATATGACACACACACACACACACACACACTGAAGGTAAAATATTATTGGAGTTAAATGAAAAAGAAAGTTTGTTAAATATTATCAAAATACATATTGGTCAGATGCAAACTTTTGAAGGACAGTAGAAATTGTTGAATATCAGATTAATTTAAATAAAACTCTTAATCTAGCAATTGGCAACAAGATTGTTCATTACATTGTTGTATGTGTTAGGTGTGGATGAAGTTAGTTTTATTCCTTTTTGTTCAGTTTCTAGGAAAATATTTTCTGTTGTCATCATCAGTTAATGTTTCTCTTTGAGAGGAGTACTTAGAATTACAGCAATTGAAACCAAAGAATAGAATGATTGTGAATACCTTCCAAGATAAATGTTTAAGTAGCTTTATGTTTAATTTTATTTAAATGAGAATACAAATGGGAGTCACAATTCCTACTTTGATTATTCTTTTTATTGGTAGGCTGCCAATATCAAATGTTGGGGTTTTGTTGTTGTTTTCTTTAATTCATGTACCAAATAAATCTGTATAATATATATAGATGCTAATAGTTTATGTACACATTGTTGATGACATGTGAAGATGAATATGTTCAGTGTTATTTTATATATTTCAAAACTTTTTTATGTTAGCCAGAAATCGAGGCATAGCCATACCAGTCGATCTAGACACCCAGGTTTCTTCCATGTTCAGTAAAAATTCTGTAATCAGCAAGCATACTCGTGCATGGTTGTCTGCCAGTCGAACTCCTCGACGTGAACACTCTTCCTCAAGCTTGTACCGAAATGAAAGGAGTATTATAGAAGGGCTTCAGGTTAGTGTATTTATCACAGTTATTTTGTTATGAATAACTTTAACTTGATTTTAATTATGTTTACTATATTTGTATGTGTGACACTATTTAATAAGGTCAACTTCAAGATCATTAAAAGCTTAGACATCTCTATCTGTTGTGTACCCCTGATTTTCTGATAATTGTTTGTTTTACTTTCTTAATTGCTGTTTTATATTTCTACGTTTTAAGAAAAATAAGTTTAAGAACTTATTTCAAAATAGCAATAATCTATATACATATATAATGTATAATAACTGAAATGTGACTGTATTTTACAAAATACTAGTCTACTAAAACACAGCCAAGACAAGTTACTTTGTACAGACCAAAAGTCAGTTGTATGTTATTTGATATGGTAACATGAGTGCACGTGAGCCGCATCATTGTATCTTCTGTATTGTTACAGGCATGGTTGAAAGGTCAATATAATAAATATATATATAAATGTGTAATGTTATGAGACTTAAGCTATTTACTCTAAACATTTATGTTTTTGTGTTATAATTTGTGTTCATTCTAGAATGAATTGGGAGGGGCTGAAATGAAAAAATTCAAGAACTAAACAGAGCATTTTTCATCAAAATAAGTTTAAAGTATCAAGAAGAATAAAGTACATTGTTAACGTACATATAGCGAAGTAAAATTGGCAGCTGATATGTCAATCTAATAAGAATCCAATAAGCTAAATTAAACTGTTAATTTGCTAAAAGTACCCGTATTTATTTATTTCCTAATTTTTCATGGCGGTTGCGAGATCGGTCAAATCTACTGAACCCATACAGAAATTAATTACTGAAAATAACAGATAAAATATAAAGTTTTTTCTTAAGAAACGTTTGATAACTATCTGGACATTATAAAGATTTTGCATGTGAAATTTGGAAAGTTTTTAATCTTAAAATGAAAATTACTTTGCATGTCGGATAGGCAACTTCCAAAAAGAATAAAAAGGCATGATAAAAACATTGCTTTACAAACCTTAAGACTTAATAAAAAAATTTATATTTTGCATATGAAAGCATTGTCATGTTTACTGATGATCTGCCAAATTTAGTTAACATACGCTTACTAATTTAAAAGTTATAGCATGAAAACTATGACAAGCACAAAATGGTTAAGAGGTCAGTCCCAGGGACCGTGCCTGTGCTGAAAGAATTAAATGACCTATCAAAAACGAAAAGGAGGCCACTTTGGGATATGTTGCTTTTGATTTGTTTTTCTTCTGTTGTTTCTTCGAGTGTGTGATATTTTGGGCTTTTAATTGATGGCTAAAAGGCCTGGGAGCGAATTTTTTTCCATATATGGAAATTATGGTTCATACTGTAAGGTTTCTTTCTTAGTTATGTGAAGATACAGTTAAGCCTTATCTGATATGTTGTCAGAACTTCGGGATTCAACATTTTCAGGATCACCAGTTTCACTGAGGATGAGCTGGATCCATTGTTAGCATGAACATTGGTTCAATATTTGGTTTATAAATTTCTCCTGGTTGTTGTTGGAGTCTCGAATTTCAATGGCTCTTACAGGGGGGTCATAGTTAATCCCCTATTCGTGAGTAACAATCCCCGACATTGGCTCCTCGGTACATTGGTACTTAGAATAGATTCTGTTTATATGCAAGGTTTCTACTGATTAGTCGGATCACCAGCAGCATCAGTGATTATCGTATATCTTCAGGTGCTGTGGGGTCTCAGTTTAAAGATTTTCTTGATGTGTGGTAATCTTACCCATTGGTCTAGAAGCTCTGCAGGTCCTTGGGTCACAGTTGATCATTCAGTTCACATCTTCCCCTCTCTTATCCAGTCACCCTGTAGGGTTTCCATCTCCCACAGTTCATCAGAATTTGCAACTTAGTTCTAGAGTTATCTGAGAGAGTCGGGCTATTATTCAGTTTTTATTCCTAATAGTTGTTGGGCCTATGAAGACAGGAGATTGGTGTCCAGTCATCAATCTTCCTTGTCTATATTAATGTCTAGATTCTCCTTTGTTCACAAATTAATCATTTCTCAATCTGTGTTGATTTTTTACTGGGATAGTAGATGTCCAACTTGCTTGTAGTTGGCTCTTACCTGCACTTTGCGATGGTGGTGGAGTCCCACCACTATCGGCATTTGTGGTGCACAAGGGTCAGGTACTGCAGTTCCAAGCTTTTTCTTATGTGTCGCATAGGCTTAACATGGGTTCTGCTGTATCGTACAAGTTTTCTGATCCCCTTCATTGTACACACACCATTCCATAGATGACTGGTTACTGCTGGCAAAATCTCATCAATTGTTAGACCGTCACATCCTACTTCTACTTTCAGATATAACCCAGACAGGCTTCTCTTTTGGGTCTGTGACACCTATTCTTGCACCAATTCAAAATGTCTTCAGTCTGGGTATTTTTAATTTTTCATCTCTTCTCTCAGTTGGGCTCAGCTGTCTCCCATTTTGCTCAATACTTTAGAATAGGATGCTACATTCTTACTCACCCCTCCTTCTCCCATTGCACAGATGGTTCTCTCTCTTCTGGGAATGTGGGCATCACTCAAATCCTTTGTGCCTTTGTGACAAGAACACAAGTGATCCTTTTATTGGTCTTTAAGTGACCAGGGATTGTACAAATCTATTTCCTGGTTTCTGCAGCTTCCTTAGTTGGAATCATTCTTTGATCTTGAGGGGTTAAGTCAGGACCTACTACAAATTGGGTTTCTCTACTGCCATCTCGTCCAGAGTTCCATACTCTGCATGAATGCTTTGCTTCAGGGATGGGGTCCATATACCAACAGTCGGGAATTCCTGAGTATGCACAGACATTGTTTTTGTCCTTCTTGCTCTTCAACAGGGAAGGTCTCATGGTTGTTGGGCTTTTTAAGAGGTAAACCATTAGGTTTCACTCTGACTATTGCTCAGTGGTGTCTTATGTTTCTAATAAAGGGGAATATGGTCTCGGGCTCCTTATTTTGGAATTTTGGACTTCCTTTCTCAGGACTAGTCTTATCTTATCACCCACCTAGCTTTACATGTTCCACGGGTGATGCTTATGGTAGCAGGTCCTTTGTCTTAATCCAGACAGATTCTCCTGACAGAATAGATGTTTCATCACAAAGTTCAGTTGGATTGCCTCTCATTTTGCAACTCTAATTAGTGGGTTGGCCTCTCATTGGATCACCCAACTATTGGCAATTTGGTCTACTGTACCTCATCTCTGGGCCTTGGCAATAGATACTTTCCATCTGGAAGAAGAGGGTTACCACTCTCACCCTTCTCTCTACTTCCTATGTTACCAAGGGTGTGAAATATGATTTATTCCAACCCATTGTCAGATCCTGTTGAGTGCACCAGACTGGTGGCTACATCCAGATTTCTGCTTCTGCGATCTTTTCTCATGTGTCTAACTCTTCCACTTCTTTTAATCTCTCTCTGTGGAGGTAGCTATAATAAGATATAGTGCACATGACCTGCAGACATCACTGGTCAGAGTGATTTGTGCTGTTTGTCCACATACTACTTTCTCATTCTCTCTACGTCTTCAGACCAGTTCTTCTAACCCAACACTCTGTCAGACAGGAAAGGGGTTCAGTCCTTTTCTCCAGTTCATCTTCTCACTCTTTCTCTCCCATAATATTTCGATCTTGGGCATGTTCAGTGAGGGTCTTGAAGGTTTTGTTGCATGCACTTATACTTTTAGAGGGCTAGGTATCTTCTCTGAGTTACACCTAACCATATTTTTCTTTTCTATGTCTTTAGCAGCCCAGTTAAATTCCCCACTAAAGGTTATGTGGACTTCTCCCAATACCTTTATCTCACATTATTTGTGTTAGATTATCTATAGGGGGATTTTTATTTTTACCTTTCAGAGTCCCTTACCTTGTTTTCACAGGATCCTACTCTGTGGTGAGTGTTGCCCAGCCAGGTGTGCTTTTCTCAAAACAATTCTGCACTAGCAACCACTATTTCACTATAATTACTACTGGTTGCAATAGGCTCTGTAGAAATGAGGTATTCCATAAGAACACATTGGAGCTCACCAGGTGGTATTACCATACTATGCCAAACCGCCACTTAAGGACTTTCATAAGTAAAGTTAAAGGAGATCCTGCCCATCCCTTTTGATCATCACATTGAATAAATTGGGGTTGGTTTGCTTTTAAAAATTTATGGGACTTGGTTCACCGATTGCACTGTTCCTTAGAACTCCCCGACATGCATTACCCCCCCCCCCCCCGCAGTTACTTTTACGTAGGTGGACGTCGGTAGGGTACGTTTACCAGTCCTCGGTGGGGTGGTGGACGGACGGGTTCCTTTTCCTTACGAG